TTGAACCTCGAAAATGGCACGAAACACATCTTTAAGTTTAAGTGGCAGTGGCGCACCAAAGGGGGGGGGGGGGGTTTGGGAGGCTTGAGCCCGCCCAAAGAGTTGGTCATTTTTTGGGGGGTTGATAATTATTTGTTTTTAATCCCACGATTTGACCTTGGTGATAATGTGGCCTATTTTCGGGTAGTATTAATAGGGGTGTGAGTGGCGCCACAAACATCAAAATAGTCCCCCCCCCCCCCCCGATTAAAAAAATTCCATTTTTTTTCTGCGGCCAAAAAGTTTGGGCATTTTTTTTTTGAATTTTTATTTAGCCCCCCACCAGCCAAATTCTAGGTGCGCTTTTAAGTGGTGTAAAAAGATTCAAATGAAAATTGCTGTGGTCAAGTCGAGCTTAGTTTCTATGACGACTTCAGTCATACATTTAAATCTATTAGGAAGAAATCACCTTGAGTAGATCTCCACTCGATGTTCCGATTAAAGCGATGGTGTGGTTGACTTCTATTGTGGTTATGATTGATGACATGAGAGTACCAGGCAGCTCTAGAATTGCCGTGGATGGAACGGGGTCAATGCCCTTGGCGTACTGGAATAATCGCGTTTGAGTAGCATCATTGGTCACGGGTATGCAGAAATAGCGATCCAGAATGTCAATCTATAACGAAAGTAGAAAGAAAAACAAATAAACAGATCTCTACTCGAAGTAAAGGGGGCAATTTGCAATTATCAACGAAACACTAATCCTGGAAGTTATAGAGAGCCGTTGATGAAACGAAAGTGGGTATTTTAGTGTTTTTTTATGGGGGGGGGGTTAAATCAATTGTTACATTGTTGTGCGCAGATTTCCTCGTCGTTTGCAAAGCTTCGTTTACAAGTTAATTGTTATTCAACAGAAGGAAAGCTTCACCAATTTATATCCAACCTTTACTAAATCGATAATTTGTTTTAAAAATTACATTTAAGGGCCAACACTATTTTGCAATTTCTCCTCTTCGATGTTCTATATGGGAGACAAATATTTATGTTGTGAAATAGCAGCATATTTTGCACGTAGTGCTTACAATGACTAGGATGACTCTGGACGGTTTTATTTTAGGTAAGGCAACTGTTGCATGTAAACCAGTTGTGTTGTGTTGCGTTGGAAACCGTTGGATTGGATTTACGCCACAAAAGTACAGATAATCCGCCTTTTGATTTGTGGTACGTGCAATTTATAGTGCATACCTTATGCTCTTCAAAAAGTGAAGTTTGTTTAATTTGCGTATGTTAAAGAATTTAATTTTGTGTACAAATAACCCGCTCTGCCAGAGCCAAATTATTGTCTGGCAGCCAATAATTTGAAATTGATGAAGAAATTATTCAATAAATAAACGTCGGTTGATTTTTGCGTCATGTCTCATTTAAAAGTGAATACATTTTATATTGGTAGTAAAACAGTAACTGAAAAAAAAATGTACTTTTCGAGGTGAAACTTGAAAATAGCACGGGGAATTCATCTTTGAATGTCATTAGAGAAATGCCAAGATCATTCTTACTATGTTTCTGTACTTACCCCGAAACTACTGCAAAAAGAACCCTCTATATAGTAAACAGAGTACGCATTTCCATCCTGAATACATCCCCGCACTGCTTCTTTGAAGGCATCCAAGATATCCGTCATCCTGTACACACACAATGCTGAGTGATCGGTGGGGACATCACTGGTACCCGGAGCTCCTTGGTTCTTGGCAAACACAGCATACAGCACCTGCTCGTCTGCATGGAGACCCAATGATGCCGCTAGATCAGGTCCTGCTGGTCCAAAGTGAGCTGCTTGCACCAAGCTGTACGCACTGCCATTTGATCCACTGCACTGTAGGGTAATTTCTGTGTAAGCGTCTAGGTTTAGACCGACCTGACATACTCTGTTGATCTTTGAAACAAAGTGCGCAGAATTCAAATCCTCCTTCTGGGAGGCAACGAAATATGTGAATCCATAATGCTCAAAAGGCATAACATACTTTATGGTATAAAAGCCCACATATGCCCTGTTATTGTAAGAGACCGTATCCTCAAAGTATGATACTGATAAAAAGGAATTGCTGTCAAGGCGTCTTCTTGTAATTGCTAGGAAGTTTCCGTGATCTCCAATATTTTCCCTGGTAAACGTAACAGCCACATAGAGCAGTTGTTGTCCATCTCTTCCTGGAGCAATCAGACTAACAGTAGATGCATCCTCAAACCCTGCAACGTTAGGAACCGACTCCATCATCACGTTCCTGATATCCTGTAACTGTCGTAACTGACAAATACCATCATACACACCACCACAGGTTATCAAACTGTTCGGCCGGGTACTGTCAACTACCAGTATCTTGTTGTAGTTATTTGTAAGGTGACAGGGGGCCACACTCCACGGCCTGCTGTCATCACAGGTTGAAACATTCTGCATCTCTGCCAAACTCCTGTCCAACCTGTACAACCAATTGACAGCTCCAACAAACACATCACCATGGTCACTCAAGGTAAAGTGGTTGAACTTTGATGCACGTCTTTGGGGTTCATCCAAAACATCAGGATTGTCAAAGCTGGCCAACTCATAGTCTGACAGGTCTCTGAGATACTGAGCAGATGTGGTTAACAAATGTACGCAGATGATGATCCAAGACAGAAGAACTATCCACAAGACGGGGTTGCGGCTCCTGTGAGACTCCATGATCCTCCAAAGTTTCAGATGGTTGTGGATCATAGGGCAAAGCTTAAAGTCACAGTCTGTACAGAGAAAAAACAGTAACAAAAAAATTATAATACCGTATTGGAAACAGTTCAATGAAAGGAATATTCTCCTCATTTCAAAAGGATTTAACAAAAAATCTCTTTTAACTGTTTGTTTGGCAAATTAGTTTCAGGTTATGGAACTAGGAAATTAGAACCAGATGCAGCGATCGGATCTTCGATTCATTGGAACCATTTCTATTACATAACGAAATATGACTTTAAGAAAAAAAAGTCGTCCAATTCTTTAGAAAAATACCTAGAACATGAGAAAATTAAATAATTGTCAGTAACGATATATATGACATCCAGGTAATTTTATAGCATTTTACTGTTTCAGTTATGAATCTTAGTGAGCTCCTGTTATTGAAAATGCAAAACTAAGAGGTGAACTGGCGATTTCACTGCTCGTATCTTTTTGAAAACAAATTCTCCATTTTCGTCAATATCTTCAAAGGCAGTTGGCTGTTGCTCGTTTTAAAGTAATGTTAGTTCGGAATTCGCGATTTATGATATTAAAAAAAGGTAAAGGGGGACGTGCCTGTATACACAGGAACGGAGTGCCCATCTCTCCTTCGAAGCGATTGGGCCAGACTCATATGCTGCTTTGGGGGGATCGCCACACCTCCTCCACAGCGCGTCTGTTATCTTCCCAGCATTAAACAATGCCGGTACCCATTTAACACCTGGGTTGAGAGGAGTAATTGAGGTAAAGCGCCTTACTCAAGGGCACAACACGAATGGCCACGGTGGGGCTCGAACCCACAACCTCTCGATCACGAATCCTGTGCTCCACCGCTAGACCACACGTGCCCACAAATGATATGATATGATATTAAAACCAATGAAATGGAAGCGGCTGTACAATGCCACACTCAGTTTTTCGGAAACCCAGTTTTATATACCGCACATGCCTTCCCAAACACTAACTACAATATTATTGGTATCAAAACAATATATAGCAGTACCTTTCACAAAGATTTAGTTCGTAAGAATGAATGTTTTGGAGAATTTTGTTGTAGAACGTTCAGGCAGTCACAGGTGTACGAAGTGATTCTCCTCAACAAAGCAATCCCTCTGGTTAGTCTAAAGAGCACATGATCAATAGGTGAGTGACCAAGATCGTGGGGTAGGTGCTCCAATGAAGGATCTTCATAATTATGTTAGCTAAATCAACCACTCAGCACGTCGATAACAGTCACAACTGCATGAACACATACGCAGAGCAGCAACAATCTGATGTCGACGAGGAACACAATGTAGATATTTTACAAAATGGAAAATAGAAAGGTTTCGTCATGGAACAACGAACATCACTTGTTAAGGTTCCGTAGCTGAGTTTATAAACCTGGTAAAATTTTGGGGTTTCATTTCCGGGTGTTGAAACTCAAGGCCTGTTTACCAGTTCCCTGAACAGTTGGTAATGAATGGCTCGATTAAAGGTGTCTCTCAGTGTTAGTTGTTCGCTTGGCGAACAATATATTAAAATACGGGAATCCCTTTTAATTGAGGCTGATAAGAAATGTAGTTGCTCCGAAAAAAAAATCCAATTCACAGTGAATTTTCCTTTATAGTGCATTTCTATGAAATGTCAGTTTTGCCTTGATAACTTAAGATGTCTGGTATATTTGTTCTGATTTCCATTTAAATCTGAATTCACTTCCTTAACAAAGAGTGTACTCCTGGTCTTTCACATCGTTAAATTTCCATACACTGTAAAAAAAAAAGATGGGCAATGCTGGTTGAATTATCAACTGCCTACACTCTTGGGTAACTTCTTCCTAATAGTTTGACTTTTTTTTTACCAAATTCAACCCAGTTTAAGGTAACTTATACCGATGCTGGGTACATAACATTGCCCGAAAGTGATGTCTTATCCAACCTGAAAAACTGAACAACTCATGGAACTACATGTATACGAAGTCAGTATTTCAAGGCTTCGTCATGACACGCAATTCCCTCTCTGATTCTATGCTTTGGTTCGGGTTTTTTTTATAATGCGAGCAAACAAGATAGCAAAATAATTTGTCTGGATAAATCACAATACGAAGGAGTATTCTACTCGGATGAAAAAGGTGGACAGGAATAAATTCCCTGCATGGAGACAACCAACTGAAGAATTTGAGACATTTCGGACACTAAAACTTGCAATGTTTCACCTCCACATGCCATAGAAATAGAAGTCTATCGGAATGTACAATTTCACAAAGCAGTCCTGCAGTCCTACATGCAGGCGAGATCACAGTTGTTTAGCTTGAAGCACATAAAACTGTTCAGGTATTTCGTCATATGGGAAGTGAATATCGCTACGAATTTCCAAAAGTAGTTTCTGGGTGCAAAGTTGTGCTATTTACAATACATGTATTCAACTGCAGGGCAAATACTTACCTATGGGTGCCAAGTAATGAAGCAAACACTGACTGTGTAGAAGCACTACAAAATGTAGACTTGATGACAAGTCGTTCGACTATAGTGGTTTATGTCCGTCATCAGCGCCAGAATCCGCATACCACCGCCGTTCATGCAACGTCAGCGCCAGAATCCGCATACCACCGCCGTTCATGCAACGTGAGCGCTACAACCATTCATGCAAAAGTCATGTACTACCGCGCGTCATGGTCAGTATGCACAGAGCACACGCAATGGGTCGAAAATGTACGTACCGTCCCCGCTACTAGGACAGCATTGGGTACGTCGTACCCCCGGCACAGAGCTTGGCAGTCGCGCGCGGCGGACGCGATTAAAACCACTCATTACAGACTTGATTTCAAGTCTATACAAAAGGCTGTGTCAAGTTTAACAAAGGTTTGAAGTGGGAGCATAATGGTTGAACTATGGCTGAACCATGGGTATTTCGACATGATGGGAAAGGATTTTCGTTTCCTGGTGCAGTAGGTAAGGGTTTATCCCAGTCACATAATATAATGGTACAATTGGCATGGATGCATTAATTAGTTTCAATTGCAATGAATATCATTTTCAATGATTTTTATTAATTTTTTAAAGTTGCTTATTGGTGCCGTCATTATGGGAAACGTTTAGAATTCAGTATTTTAAGGCTCCGTCATGACACGCAATGCCCTCTCAGTTTCTCACCATGCTTTCAGTTTTGATTTGGTTCTGTTGCTTTTATAATTAGGGCATGCAAGAAAAAAATAGTTGTCCTGCAATAAACCCATCGTGTGTGGATAACTCACGATACTAAGGAGTTGAATACTCGGCTGACAAGAGGTGGGCATGGCAGGAATAACTGGAGACAACCAACAGAGGAGTGTCCATGTCCGTGATGAACGGCTGACCGTACACTCGCAAACCCAACATTTCAACTCCTTAGGCCACATAAATAGAAGTCTATCGAAATGTACAATTTAACAAAGCATTATCTGTTTGCAGGTACACGGTTGTTTAGCTCAAAGTATATAAAATTGCTAATGTATATCGTCCTTATGGGAAACGATTAACCCCGCTGCGAATATCCACAAGTCGTTTCCTGGAGCAAACTGACGCTACTAACGATACGTGTATTCAACAGCAGGGCAAATACTTGTCTTCATCCGTTCGGAAGCAAACACCCGTGGAGCAAGAATTGTATTTATTGTGAACAACCAATAAATAGTTAGATGCAAAGGCAGCGACCTAATATAATTGTCCCACGTAACTGCTGATACAAGGAGGAGTGTTGCCGGGAATCGGGTGATGTGTTCACGTTTAATAGAAAATAAACACGTAAAATACAGTATTCTGACGCCACTTTAATATTGCCACCATTATCGTTATGCCCTTGAACGCCACAAATTATAAAAAAAGCTTGACTGAGACCACACAAAATTTGTTCCCCATTTTATTATTATTTTTTAATATGATAGGTGTGTTGGTAATTGTTTTTTGCTTGATAGTTTATGGCCAAAATAAGTATTATGGTATGAATTTGTTACTTTTGTATTGATATTTTTTTAGCATGCAGGCATTACTAACAGCGATCGTTTAAACTAACTTTTCATTCTGGATTTGCTGCGCTGAATACTGCGGCGAGACCAACTGCCGACCAACTTACAAAAACAAATGAACTCCGAGTGAAACATGCTGGACGATTTCCGCAAAAAAAAAAAAAATAATATGATTCAGTGTAATTGAATCTAGAATTGAGAAGGTATTAGACATTGAACATGGTAGAGCTACAACATGCAATAGAACCAAATACACCCCAACCGACTTTTTGCTTCTGTATGTAACAAATCCCGTGAGTCAACAGGTGAGTTAGGTCTCTATTAGCGCTCAAAGACTTGCTAAGATGGGAAATTTACATACCTATTAGATACCCCAGAACATTTTCTCGCGATATATTTCAGAATTTTGTTTGTGAGAGAATTTTTTTTCTCGGGGTCGGCCTGGGCCAAAAAATGTTGTATAAATGATGACAAATTTATTACTATTGAGCGTCAAGATAAACATTAAACAATGATGACTGACTTCAAGAATGTTGCTTCTAATCAGAAAGCATCATTTATTTTACAAGTAATATCCCAAGTGAATGGATTGCATAGCGTACGGAAACTGGCTGTATCCATAAAAGCACAATAAACAGACCTATTTAGTTAAAAAATGCTGTTTTCATGAAGCAATTTGTTTTGAGAAAATGCACGTGGAGCATACAAAACCAAAGTGACCCCTAACAGACCTCAACTCATCAAACCCAAATGGCATGTTTTGTTGGAATCTGTCAGAATGAGTAGGCCTACAGTTCCCTTACTAAACTTAGTCTTTTACATTGGGTTGGCACACCTCCAGAATCAAAGCCAGAAATATGTGTGTGCAGTTTCCCATAATGGTGTTGGAATTTGCCAGGATGTGTTTTAGTTCCTTGTAAATCATGCTAAGAATTTAGGGTTTTAATCATATTTGTACTGATTTAAATCAGGACATAAATCAATAATTATAAAAAGTTACAATCAATCAACCCTGTTCCCCAACGATAATCTACGAAATGGAACCCTCAGCATCAAGTATAAGAAGAATGTCATCGGATAGACAGACCTGTCTGTGAAATGTGAGCATGTGATTTAACACATTCGAACTAAAATTCGTCTTGACATTTTCAACAGAAATTCACCATTGGCTATGTTAGCAATATGCCGGTTTCTATGCAATTCTGCTAATCTGATTAAAAAGTGATTATACGTGTCTGGGTATCAAATGAATAAATGATCCAAAAGCGAGATTATATCAAGTCAAATGAATATCGAATATAAGCATTTATACAGCACTCGATGCTAACTACAATTATTGTTATATAGATCTTCAAAATACTTTTTTCGCGGGCATTTACCATGTTTCTGGTGGTTTTTTTTTTTACCTGTTAAGTCAAATTGTGTTTCTACGTTTACTAGGCAACCATTGAGCAGTTTCCGTTACCTTGCATAAAGAACTTCTTAAAAAATACGCCAATTTCTCGCAACACCTTCGACGGAAGACTCTTAAAAAAAGCTTTTTTTAAAGGTAAACAAGATATGATTTTAATAAAATGAGCTACACTTCATATTTATTTTGCAAAGAATTGCATATGCACGTGCCATCTGTCTACTAAGAATATAGGCCTTAACAGGTATTCCAAATATAAAATGTCATTTATGTAATAAACGATTTATCTTAATAAAAACCCATGTGCAATTCGTTAAACTAAATAACATTGCTATTGTTTGTTCCTTCTAGTTTTATTGCGATACCGACAGATGTTAATTTCCTGATAACTTTACCCATATTTATATAAATGATTTTTTGCAGCTTGCAGGAATCAGTGAAGAAATTTCCCAATCGGCAAGTTATCATTTGTAATTAAACATGAATGGCTTATTATTATTATACAGTTTTTACAGGAACATATTTTACAAAATTCAGATAACGTAGGATCTTGTTTTAAAATGTTGCAATTTACCTAGCTACAATGGTTATACAATACAATACTGTAAATTCACTGTGTATTTTAGATTAAACGGTTTTAGATTATTAGTATTATAACATGTAAGCATTTTCTTCTTAAAAAACAATCAGGCACTTATTTGCGGAAAATCCGAATATTATGAAGTAATACAAATTACGTAACTGCATGCGAACGTTTCATTCAATGATATTAAACAACAATAATACCTCAGATTAATATACCACTGTCCATGAACTACAATGTCAATCGGAAAAAAAAGGCATTTGGCATTGGTTTAAGACGCTGAAAATACATGTTTTAGCTATTATTTTAGCTTGCTACCTTCTTTATATTGTAAACGATTTCATTCTAATCCACGGAGAAAAAAAAAACTTGAAAGGTTAAATCTTTTTTCTTAGAAATAAAAGTGAGCAAGGAGTGTGTCCTTTGTATCCATCTTGATAAGCAAAGATTTTAATATGTTGGCCACTTGAAACAGACTTTTTCTTCAAACTATTTTCTTTTCGGATATTTCTTATCGGGGAATGTGCACGGCACTTATCTAATGACAATTTTATTAACATAATCCAAGGGATCATGGGCAGCAGTCGCATGGCTCCCGCTGGTTTCTCCGTCACTACACGGGCCGTCAGCACCAAAGGCGGTCTCCTGCTGCATCGGGACCAGATAGCTGTCGTCTGTGACACCAGGTTCTTGGCGATGTTCGATGGGTCGCTTACCAACCGCACCCGCACTAGGAGCTGCTACGTAGTCGCGGTCTCCCTCCAACAGTTCTTCCAGCTCATTGGCGACTTGGACGAATGTGCAACGTGACTTTGGGTTGTCCTGCCAGCAACGTACCATTATGCCGTAGCTGTGTCAGTCAGGTAGTAACAGGAGTTATTAGATAAGCTTGCTGGACAGTATCAAATTTTGTTTGCATTTTTACTTGAAACCCCCCGACAGTAAACTTTTTTATTATTACTGATTACTCGACACTACCTTTTTTTAATTCATATTTGAAACCCCAAGAGTGTTATTCCTACTTAAAATTAAGTAAAACCCATGAGAGTAAAATAGGTGCATTAAGACCCCTCTACCTTCGAAAAAAAGTTGAGTGTGGCATAAAATAAACTTGCATGCTTTTTACAGCAGTTAAAACGACATTAAATTTGTTACATGTATTATTAAAAGTAAATTAGTAATGGTGAGCGCTGTTTGAACATACATTTCTGGCGGGCAGTTCTTTGGAGCATCCATGCGTTGACCACTCTTCAAGAAATCATACACATCTTGGTTGGGTATTCCTCGATACGGTCTTGCACCCCTACTGAATATCTCCCACAGGAGCACACCGTATGACCACTGTAGAAAACCAAAGAAGACAATTATTTCTCAATCTAAGAGACCATTCCAGTGTTGCCTGTCAATGAGCCACATAACACTTAGGTTCGCCAAAATTAATGAAGATTGACAATACCTACTTTGTAATCGAGTGTTATTAAACTATTTCAAAATATCATGTGTCAAATGTAAATAGGCCTAACCAAAAACGTTGATTATGGAGAAATCAATTCAGATCGCCGCCTTCACACGAAATATTCCAGCTGAGGGTGTCTGATGTAAATTATCAATAATTAACGTTTCATTACCAGACATACATTCTCTCTAAGTGATAGTTCCACGGAACGTAAAATCATGTGTGCCACTTTCTTTTCCTTCAGATCTTCATCTTATCATCATGGAACATTCCAATCAAAGATGGATTTAATTGCATACCACGTCAGTCCTGGCGTTGTACACTCGACGTTCCATGGACTCGGGAGCCATCCATTTGATAGGCAGCTTAGCCTGGACATCGCCGCTTGTGTAGTAATCCGAATTGTGCATGTCACGGGATAGTCCAAAATCAGCTATCTTCACCAGAAGATCACTATCCACCCTATAGAGGTTAATAAACGTTGATCTTACTTTCGGATCTCTTCATTTAAGAATTGGAATGCCATTCACTGAAACTCTTGAGTAAATTCAATGAATGCATGTCCCCTGACATCTCGTGTGCTTTAAAATTGTTTTCGACGAAACAGCTAACCAATATCTCGTAAGATTACTAAAACATCTGAAGCCAAATTTTGCTTTCATACAAACGCTTATATAAAGACATGTGCAAAATCACAGAGTGGCATAGAAGAGAGGATACACTTACATGCAATTTCTGGCCGCAAGATCTCTGTGGACAAACTTGTGCTGAGCCAAGTAACTCATACCGAGTGCGGCATGTGAGGCAAACCTCATCAGCAGAGATGTCGCCAAGGTCTAAATGAAAAGGAAAAACCTCTAATGAATAACTAAATACCACACTCAGAACAAAACAAATTAAATAGGCTACTGTTTACCAAATGGTACAGCATTTTGTTCATTATTTCTCATCAGTAAACTACCAATTATCAAACTAAACCAAATCTACCAAAATCACCATTAAGTGAGTTCCAAACTCATGCCAAAGTCACTTATTCTTTGATCAAAATTTCCACTACTTACTATTGACATTTTGATTGTCAAGATCGCTCTTGACTACATACCTGTTTCTTCTTGATCAGATATGTCTTGAGGTCACCGTTTGCCATGAAGGGTATCACCACCAAGGGGTGTTTGTCTGCGTCAAAGGTCAACCCCAGAAGCCCCAGCACGTTTACATGGTCGAAAGTTTTCATGACCAGGCCTTCCTCCAAAAACTTCACCACATTTTTCGGGTCCGAGGTGTCTATACATTTGTACAAGCAAAAATAAGGCATGTAATAACTGGCACGCCTAACTAACGTTTGACAAAGCCTTACACCGGGGAACATTTTGATTAATTTTAGTTCGAGAACATTTTACAAGGTTATTGATGACAAACAGAGCATACTGTTCGAAACGTCGAGTTAAACCTACAGGTTCTTTTTAGAATTAAACACACAACTCTTAAAGGTGTTGCCTCAAACCTTCCATTCATTGATCATGTCTACCATGCAATCCCTTAAGTCTAATTTAACATTTTACAACCCACAATTCGCAATTTTGAATGAAAAGACTATTTCGGGTCTTTTTTTACTCAAGACGCACATTCATTTATGTTGTTTTAGTTCCTCTTTCTCGGTGTAAATCAAATCAGCAACAAGTAGATACTCAAGACGAAAATGCATAATCTTTTGAAATTGGCCCCTTTTTAACCGAGGGATCATATTTCAATGCTCTGTTTCGAATCTATACTGTCATAGCAAATATCTCTCACAAATGGCCGACATTCTCGTCACTAATCTTGCACTGTCTTCACTGCCACAATTTGATCTTCCCCGGACGTATCGTGTAGAACAGCTTTCAGTACACGCCCAAATGCACCTGAAACATTTGATCAAGTGTTTAATATAGGCCATCAGCCTGGGAGTTTGGTCGGTATCAAAATGAGGTGAATAATGCTCATTGTGATTTTTGGCATGGTATGCTACCCTGCATTTGGAAAATATGTAATAGCATTGCAGCGGTTGGCAGCTTTTTTGGGGTGCTTTCACTTTTTGAAAAAAAAATGGCGGCCAAAACATGCTTGTTACCACATATAATTAGTTCGGTAACAAGAATATTGGCGGCCATTAAAAAAAAATAAAAGTGATAACATCAAAAAAACTGCCACCGCTCACATTGCAAAGCTGTCACACATTTTCCAACTCTAGAGGTGCATACCTTGCCAGACATCGCTATGAGCATTGTTCCATTCGGTCATTTGATACCGGTGGCCCAATTTTTGGACCGAAGCTGATAGCCTAATACTCATCAAAACTCATTGTCTTTTGCTGGTACCGAAAAACCTGCCTGAAAGCAGAGACAAACTGACCTACCGACTTACTGACAGACCTAGCGACTGGCCGAGTCTAAATAAACTCCTAAAGTGCGAAACGTGAAAATGCGTTTCATTTACGCCTTGGAATGGTTTGTACACACAGCCCCTGTACTTTATATAGGCCTCTCTTCTCAGGTAAAATAACAGCTTACACTTTGAACTCATGAAACGTTCATTGTTTCCTCGTACAAAGTCACTACCTTGTCCGAGAGTTTCTCCCAATTCCAGTTGGCTGAAGTCGATATGAATGTCGTCGGGAACGAAGCTGACCTTGTTGTTCAGGACAATGCGCTTTTGTTTTGGCTGAGCAGATTCCGAATGTTTCTGGGATCTATACCCCCTGCGTCTTTTGACGTGGGAGTCAATTTCTGAAGAAAAGAGATATAATGTCGCATCACATTAAATAACGTAATATAGTGTTCACTTTACGACCACTCTCAGGCTTACAAATCGGCAGACAATTGCATGCTACTCAAGATTCACAAGCTGTCTAAAATAACAATCAGAATTCAATCTTCATCTTGACAAAAGAGTTCTATACTTATTTTTGTTGAAGAGGAATTTGTTTCATCCTGTCTGCAACTTTACAATTTACAGTCAATTGATGAGGTTGCCATTTGAATTCTTTTGCCATGTATTTTACCATCAAAACCGGCTGCCCAATAGCAGCCATCTTGAGATGATTTGTTTTAGAAGTAGAACATAATTGAATACGGAGATGTGCAGCTACACACTGTTTATTTTTTTCCAAACTATCATAAATATGTTTGAAAATGAATAATTGGCTATTAAGTTTTAAAGGGTTTAGGGATGTTAACCATTTCGCTGTCTTGAGATCAAGTGATTTTAATGTGCAAGAGCATATTCCTAGGTAGACTGAGATTATACTCTCCCTTCACTGCAGTTTTGTGCACCTTCTTTTTTTGGCACTCAGGAGTATAGTATTCGAGTTAACTCAAGTCACCTCTTGCCACCAGCACTTACCGAGATGAATCGCAACTATCCTGCCCAGCAGTCTTCGGTCATGGGTGCGCTTCCTTCGCAATTGTCTGCAGTACACGAAGGTAGCAGGGAGAAGTATCGCCATGGAGAGTAGGATGGTCAAACTCGGTACAAGTATAGCGACAAGTGGCACCGTGGGATAGACCAAGTAGCCCAACCGAGATTTTAAGTTATTGTGGAAAACCTATGGAATAATACAAATGACCAAAATTCAATGACCAAATACTATGAAGGCAAATTAATTTGTTGAGTGCTATGGCCTCGTGGTTAAGGGCACTGATTCGGGGTCGGTGGGTAAAGCTGCATGTTGTGGGTTTGAGTCCTGGTGGGGTCACGGTGCGTGTGCCCTTGAGCAAGGCACTTTGCCACTCATTGCTTCTCTCCAACCAGGAGTAAATGGGTACCTGTGAGGGCAGAGATGGTTATTGTGATTGAATAACCTTGCGCCTAACAGGCTGCATTGAGCTGTATACTCCCCGCTGATTCGCACATGGATCCGCCCCTGACTTACCCATACAACAGGCAGACCTTTCCCGGTATCTCCTCCCATGTAGTCACCGGCTGCTGGTGCCTCATCGGGCAATTCACATACGAGTGTTGTCGCACTGAACAGGATAATGGTACAGCTCTCTTCGCCGATCCTCACGACAATTTCTCCCTCTGTGATAGCGCTGTCAATCCGCTCGCCCTGTCAAAGCATTTACAGGTAATTTAAGCTAAATTGTTTTAAAGGAAAGTTATTGGTATCTGGATTGGTATATTTCGGAAGAGTTTAATCTTTTCGGTTGTGACAAAATGTGCAAATTGTTTTACTTCTAAATAGAAAGGTCATAACCTAAGTCCCAGGTAAGACTTTCTGTCGTTGTTCATGTACATGTACTCCTATACACACCGAGTGAGGACTGAGGTAAAAAAAGAACCTGAATTTGTTTTCAAATTACATTTACATTTACTTTTGCAATGACTGATCTGAGATTATGAAGTTTTGTAACTCAGCACGAGTTACTCAAATAAGCCCACTGTATTTTTGGAAGATCCACGTGATTCAGGAGGAAGAGATATCAACTTGAATTTATCTTAAATCACATAATGAGAGGTGACATCACTTAACAAAGCACCAAACAAGTGTGCTTCGTGCACGTTACCGACAGGCCCCATATTCTACAGATAGAAAAAAACAGCACTGAAAATGACTGGCGCATAGAATGAGACACGCATACCAACCATAATTCGCAAGGTTTCTCCTTCTTTGTCCTTCATGCCGCCTTCAAATTTGTAATACACTGGATCCTCAAAGTACTCTAAGTCGACATCGTTATCCTGAGACCAGGTCAACAGTTGAGTGACTCCATCCATGATGAAGCCAAAGGTCAACTTTTCATTCCTCATGTTGAGGTCTGTTATGTTAGGAGACCGGCACTCCATGCTCGTTGCAGATCCACCTTGACATTCCTGCAAAACAAAGTCCCACATTATTCAGTTGACAATTCTGTTCAGCATAAGCTCCGGTTGACAAAGGCACCCTCTTTGTTTCTACTGAAAAACAAAAATGTTTTAATGATGTAAATGGCTATCACACTTTATACATCGTACACTTTTTGCCATTTTCACATTTGAAGAAGTCGTCAGCGGTAACTGTGAAAAAAGAAGTTGTAAAAAGTTCCTAATTGTATGTTGGAAGAGTGGAGCAAGTGGATATAGGGATCGGATGTTAAGGGGGGATTGAGCAGGGTAGGACAGAGATAAAAATCATTTAAGGTAACAGGTATAACACATTTCTCACCTCTTTAAGATCACCATTTCCATAGGTGACAAAGATTTGACGGTTTCTGCTTGTGTTTAGCAAAGTGCCAGTAGCAGCCAACATTCGACCACCCCTGACAATTAGAAACACCGATAAAAGTGATGAAAATGCGTTCTACACTGAAAGATCCTGGTTGGTGTATAAAATCAATTTAAACAACTAAGACATGCACGCAGGGTTCACTCAAAAACATTCTGAGCAGACAATTTTCTTCAACTTTAGAATCAAGCATTATATTTTTTTCTGTTTACTCAGATTATCGGTAGTCTTGACTAATAAGATTATTTGTATTAGCCCGCTTTTAAAACAGCCAAGCATAAAATATGTGTCTACGAGTTTGCTATCTTGAAAGCGTGTCTTAGAATAGAAACATAACATTTCAGAAATACCTAGACCAAAATTCCTTTTTACCCTCATTTTGTTATATTTGCATTAAAAACGATTAAAAACACTGGAAATCCTCTTTTAATGTGGATGATACAAATTGAACTTATATCCCATGGTAAAACAGAGAAAAGACAGAAAAAAAATGTACACTCACGAAATGGTGCTTGTCAGAGGATCCGCCTTAGTAATGGTAGGGTTAACAATGTAAATTCCCTTTTTAAACCTCATTTTGTTGTTCGTGTTTAAAAATATTTAAAACACCGAAACTATCTTTGGACAATACAAACTGTAATAGAGACACAAATAATGTGAAAGATACACATTGAAGTATATATAGCCCATGGTAATACAGATGAAGACAAAAATCATGCAGACTCACGAAACGATGCTTTTCAGAGGAGACACCTCAGTAATGGTAGGATTCTCAGTGTAGGTGTACATATCTGATGAGGTTCTCATGGCCCCATCAAAGGAGAGTTTCACAACATCTTTATATCCAACTCGGCCAGCAGTGGTTGTGCATTCTAGCATGGATTCAACTGGTTGGCTAAATAATTTGGGAAAAAACAATTCACATAATTACAATATTAAATTTTTGCAGAGATTTTAAAAGTGAAATTCATCTGTGTTACGTGTTTGATGCCCCTTAATACTGAATGTATGTATAGCAATGTATCAAGGTAAATATTGGCATAATTTCGTGTAGTTCTACAGAACAGGATGGAGTATATATTTATAATAAAGTAACCAAAATATGCTCCCAAAAACCCAGTTTTACCCGGTCCACAAAGGTGGAAAAGGCAAACCTTTTAAAGGAAATTTAAGAAACTGAAGCTTGATAGGAGTCCACTGTTTGGAACGAGAGATTGTACCTATGTTGAATTGATAATTATCGTACAAAACACTGTTATTTGTCAGTTTCCAATGATTGCTTCAAATAATGTCATTCTGGAGTTCGAGTGGAAAAAAATAGACAATGCTCCGATTTTTGCCGTATACACAACAATTTGAAAAATGATGTGCAACGAAAGCGACATAATACCCTGTTATGTTGCAAGGATTGTCGCCGATAAACGCTTCAATATCGCGTCCTGTGTTGAGGGCCGCACCATTCACACCAACTGCCGTCCCACCGGCTTCAGGGCCGAGGCGGGGTTGGAAATCTGTTATCGTTGGGTCCTGTTAACGAAAACCATTTTGTGAAAAAGTTTCTAAAATTGTGTTTGTCGATCACCCATTTTTCACTCCAATTATATTATTATCGTTGGAATAAGTATATGCAATTTAGTATTTTCTGCTTCAAATCCTGGAGTATTTTATATGTATACTTCTCCCTGTATTCTCCACACGTTTCACGTTTCTTATGTAATTTGACCTAAGATTTCATGAAATTCGCTCAAAAGCCTTGGGTTTTCCTATAAATCCTGTCGATTAAAGAATGAAATCAAATATTCAAAAAAAAAAGCCAATTTGTATATGGTCAACTCATTCAGCCTTCATTATCATATTTAATTATTGCTCCGCCTGACTTAATGATGTTACAAACTTCATGCATTCCGTGCTTAACATTTTCATTACAGTAGATATAATATTTTTCCCTGGACGCTTGTTCCTCTGTCAGGCAGATTCCTCAGTTGCTAAATCAATGTAAGGAAAACGATGGCGACAAGTGACTTACTGTGAATCTAAAGTTGATTGTTCCTGTGCTCTGTTGCATTGTACCATCTGCACCCGTGACTGTCAACGTAACAAACTCAGCTCCTTTATTTTCTGCTCTCGTTCTGCAGCTGACACTGAAACGTAATGTGATATGTGACATTAAGACAAGGAGGTTGAGCAAACCTCCTCAACCTCATCCACTCTGGAATGAATTCTAAATAATATCGTTTACATGTTAATCACCAAATGTATACTTTTAGATTTTACAATGAGCAACAACATGGCACACTTTTCGCTGTTGACTACATCATTGTGAATTACGAATTTTGTGGGAAAACAATACATTTGACTAGAAATTCAATTTTTAAGCAAGGCATACCGACATTGCTTACAAATGTTGAAAAACACCTATCAGCAGCGGCGGAACGATTTTCAAAGTGTGTGTGTGGGGGCATTACCAAAAAAAGGGCCACTTGCTCAGTAAAAGGCATCTTCCGTCGGTGCAGCAGCGTATCCAGCATTTTATTTTTGGCACATCCGTGCTGAAATGTCGACACGGTTTTTTTTGCACCGGACACAATAGCCTCCGTAAAATCAAATAGCAATCAAATAGGCGGAGGAGGGGGGGGGGGTGTACCATCTTCAAAAATAGGGGCGCTCTTCAAACTAAGCAAACTACGCATTATGTGCCCATTTTCAAGGCGCATTTAACGAGTTTTTTTGGCTTGGTTTTCATATTCCTCGTTCATATCAGAATTATCTATACCATTTTGGGACATGACTACAGAAAACAAATAATCCGAAATTTTAGTAACAGTTTTGTTTTCGAGGTGGCTCATTGATGCTCGAAGAGCACATTTATGTCCGCAAGAGGGGCACTTGGGTAAATCTGGGTTGTGGTGGGGGGGGGGGGGGGGTTCCGCCGCCAATGGTTAAAAATGTTATCAAAAACTTAATAGCTGCACATTAGTCACAGATAAAAAAAAAATTACAAGGTATAATGTCCTTGCATGAAGTATGATTTGACCCTACCTTGCTCCAATTTGGTAGGCTGAGCTTAATCCAGCCAGATCACAGGGTTGATTGCCAACCACCACTGACACGACATCCTCAACCCTCCGACCGATATCAGTTCCCATCACATCTATGACTGTGTTGCCTTCAATGGGCCCAGTCAAGGGAAATACCTAATGCGTGATTTTGGAAACAATAATAACATAACACACAAAAAACAAGTACATGTAACGTTGAAACAATGCATTAAAATACAACACATTATTAGTTACGATGCATTGGTAAGTGCTCTTTAAATTTTGTTCAGCTTGTTGGCTTATATGCAGTCATCCATTTATATAATATACCCTACACCTTTGCTAACACAGTCATAAATGTTTTTTTTCTTGCACGTGACAAAGTTTCCCTTTTTTCATTATGTCACAAAGTCAAGTCAAATATATACAAGGTGTGCTTCATTATGTGGCAGTATTCTTTGATACTTTATGAGAACTGTGGATTATTACAAACACGTTGACAAGTAGCCTCACCTGGAATATTAATAAAGAATATTCAAGATACTTCAAAGTGAATAATGTATTCAACTGTAGAGTTGTATTACCTACCTCAGTCAGAACTGGATCAGGGCAGTTCAATCCGTTATCCAAAGTTACCATATTTTTCCTGCAAATTTCACCTGGTTTACAAACACCAGACTCGCTCGGCATGGCACCACACCAAACACAGCCAAGCGCTGGGCGGGCTGTAACACAACGGCTGCAGTCTGGCTTCTGGACTTCACACTTGTACAATGTTACTGTTTGATATGAGCAGAATACAAGATCATCTCATGTCTTTCCTCTCGAAAATTTAAAGAACGACCTCCAATACAAAACGATGAAATGCATATGAAAAGTTCATTTACAAAAACGCGATATTCCCGTTTCAAAAAAAGGGAAATGTTTGCACGGTTCTGATCTTTAAAGAATATTATACAAACATCATTTGTCGCTTTCTTGTACTCTTAATTCGATACTACCAAGAGTTGCCTAGGTGTGATTCTAACACCTAGGCACTGACGTTCATCACGTTTTGGAAATAAACTCTTTATTAAAAATATTTTAGACTGACTAATGCGTAAATTACCCTCACTCGGTCCTTATTTCTCACCATTAAATCCATGTATGTCATCTAGGATGTGCGCAACACCGCTTGTGTCAGTCCATGAAACAGTCAGTCCCACTTCCAGCTCTGGTTCACCATTAGATTGGTAGATGTACTGTTGAAGGCAAGCAAACAATCTCACCTTTTAATATTTGAAGCTCAAAACATCAACATAGCTAAAGTAGTTGGAATTTAACTTACAGCCTTATCTTGGCATGTGATCCTATCTCCGTTGCGTTCTGCATTAACAGCCTGAGGTGATCCCTCTACATCTAAGCTACACTGATAGCTAGAAATCTGCACATGGAAAACAAAGGATGACCAATATTTTTATGCAAAATAAAGTGAGTATGGAAAGAGTAAAACTCAAATTTACATGTCGGTAGTATCCCCATCTTACGTACCTTTCATGGACTCCAGTAATTGGTCTTTGAAAGTAAACAGCTTTCTTTGAAAGCTCAATACTTGGCAACGCGATGCATTTTTTTAAAAGCAGTTATTCAGAAAATCCTATAAAGTTTTACCGATATAATACAGTTCAAGAGCAGCTTATCAACCAAACATTAACCTCTATCTATAAGCACACGCACTGTAAAGATGATAACACAATGTAGTCAATGTAGTCGGTGCACCGACTACACTGACCGCAGGTTTTCATACGGTCGAAAAACATTTTGTTTTCAAACAGTAAATGATAACTTTGCAATTCACTTTGCATTCATGTCATTGTCATAAAGAAGGTAAAATATCAAGAGCGTTAAGCAATTAGCATACTATATATCAAGCAGTATTCCACTGGGAAAACCGTATTTTCTCATTGGGGATGAATTAAGCAAAGCGGTAACTGGACTCAGTGAAATTGTAAAAACTGTTACTGTCGGGCATGGAAAGGGGACATTTCTGATATACGGAGGTTAACGTGGACATCAGTAACAGATTATCATTGTTTTTGTTTGTTGTGTTTTTTCAGACATTAATAAACAAACCTCAGTTTCGTCTGGCAGGTTTGTAGTCATGACAGTGATGCTCCTCATAATGTCATTAGGAAGCAGAACTTCAGCAGTCTGGTTCAGCAGCTGAGGGCAAATCGCAGGTCGTTTGACTGCAGAAGAGGTCGGATTCTGTAGGTAAAAACCAACAAACACTAACTACATGTTTATCATTAACTCCCCTACAAATATAAACTGCTTCGGACAGACATGTGAAAATGAGCTAGTTCCTGAAACAAGAATCCAGCCATGTGTGCTTAGTAGGAGGGAGAGCTACCCCCCCCCCCAATTTCTGTGGTTTTCAATAACCAATGCGCAAAACACTCAGTTACTGAATATTCAGCATGTGATCTTTACAATCATGAGATTAAGCTAAATTAACTGTAGGGTAATGAATTCAACTGCTGCAAACTGAGTGGATTGACCTGAAACATACAATAAGACTTAAGAGTGAAACATTAGGCCAGCTAATTGTGTTTATTTAAAATAATTGTTAATATATTAACGATTATGCAGAGTTGTAATGACTCGAGTCAATGACTCGACTCGAGCCGACTTGGTGACTCGACTCGACTCGAGTCCCTAAGGGCACCCGACTGGACTTGACTCGAGTCCCTCATCAGAATGACTCGACTCAAGGAAGGCTAATAAGACTCGAGTCCCACTTGACTCTTGACTTGATTCGACTCGACTCGACTACACATTGTAACGCGACGTGACTCGACTCGCCTCGACACGACCTTCTTAAACTAATGACCCAACTCGACTTTAGCTTGTTATAACTTATGTTCTCACGTTATCTCCGGGAACGATGATTTCATTAGCACGTGTGCACGTGGAGCTTTCATGAGTACATCTGTTCTCAAACACGCACCAATCGCAGGCCCAGCGACTACCAACGCAGGACACACAGCTACGTACACAACCAAAGGGAAATGCATTACTTAAAGATTAAAAAAATCATCAGTCAAACGTAGTACTTGAATTTCAAATACAACTGATTAACATGGTATATAACACGAATACTCACGAAGTGTGCGTTGAACACTCGTAGAAGTAGAAGTCGGTATCTACGAATTGAACCGAAGTTTCAGATGACTCGACACCCAAATCAATGTGTACTGCACCATCTAAGCAATAACAATTTACAATAACAAATCTCTGCATTTATTACTTGAAACAGTTCATTACAAAAAAGAAGCTTGTATTTTAAATCGATTTGTGTGGGTACCAATTGCAGACATCACATTAATTCTAACAGTAAGTATATCAGTGTACCATATTGTATTGCCTATGAACACATTTCCTCTCTTTATTTACTTATTGACCAAATATTGCGATTGAATGACAAACGTCACGCTGGTTCACAAGCATCATTTCATTCTAGAAATCTACAAAAGTACAAAGTCGACTTTTTGAAAATTCTCTCTCTATATATTTTGCTATAAATAACTTCTTATGTATATCTCTTATTGCACTTGCCTCCTTGTGGAATGGCAGGTATCCCATCACTAGGAGGTGACGTACACTCCAGCACTTCACCATTCTTCGTAGCTGGAAATTCGAATGACCCAAAATGACATGCATAACTCTGGCCGGTCCCTAGATCAGGTAACTGCTGCACAGTCAGGATGATCTAAAAGTGGAAGTATAAATACTAATATTTATTTCATTTATATTCCAAGAACTCCAAGAATATGACTCCAGTTGTCAGGATACCCCCCCACTCGCCAGCACAGATTTACGTCACTGGGCGGAGTTGAAACAACATTTAGTGAGCTCAAATGACTGAGAATGAGTAACAGGTTAGTACATGAAGCACAACATTCTGAATCCTTCCAACGCACGATAAAATATTTTCTTAGAGAGTCACAAATTTCAAAACTTAATATAGATGTTTGATATCAAAATA